AAGACTTCTGTTGTTGCGACAATAGGAATGGAAACTGGTAGGTTTCTATCTAGGAGTTCATAGGTATAGGTTGCACTGGGTAGATGATTAAGTGAAGGATGGGAACTTGTGAAGTTTAGTCCTGAATTAATATTGCTAATAGTGGATCTTCTTCCTGGCTTGGTATGCCCCCAGAGTAGGTGTATTACACCGAACTGGGTCAACAACTGATTTGTGTTTTTACCTTCAATACTTTATAATTCTGTCTGTTATACAACAAGGTAAAACTGTAATGTTGAAACAGATGATGTCTCAGAACATGTTAAGACATCATGCTGATATCTGTGCAGGAGAAACAGAACTGTGAAGGTTGCTTGCTCTCTGTTGATCATGGACAGAACTAGGTACATCGTGTGATCTATCCTCTGCACCTTCAAAGTGTATCTGGTACAGCTTGGATAAAACTGTGTGAATGTTACAGATGATGTCAAAAGAGATGAATGGATATCCTGCTGGTTTGTGTGCATGATAAACAGAACTAAGGGGTTTGTTTGCTTCATGCTATGTGATAGATGATGTTGCAACCAAGGTTGAGACATCAGGCTATGAATGGATAGTTTACAAACCAAAGCTATTTGTTCGAGAACTGCAGATATGGCAATCTCTATGCTTCTGTTATACTGAATCACAAAAATTGGGTATCTACCTTGCAGTGTATGTATTATGTCATATCAGATGTCTAGACATTGAGTATAACATCTGAAGACTGGCATACACCAGAATTTCAGCACCCTTTCCATCCGTAGTTATCGACGGGCTCTTAGATGCTTAACTCATTTTGAAATACCTTGTGCTTTATATGTTTTTGAAAATTATTGAAATCTCAAATAGCAAGGCAGTTTACTTTATGATAACTCTTGTATCAGTCCTTAAGAGTGATGATAAAGTGTTTTGAAAATGTTTTTGAAAGTTTTTTGTGTATGTGTAAAAGTTTGTTTTGTTTTGAGAAAGCATCTAAGAACTATCTACTTTTACTCTAAAGGGTTGTTATTTTCCTCTTTTCCTTTATACAATGATATCATACTATTAGTGAGTAGGTAGCCCTAGCCGTTGGATGTTTGAGGGACATTTATACAGTCACAAAGGCAAATGGACAAGAAATCTTAGTAACTACCTTAGGGTTTTAAGATCATTTTTACCGAGGCAACATCGAGAGGGTCATCAGGGACATATGATCTTTAAACCGGAGGGTAGCCACTAAAATCTCTCACGTTTCGAGAGTTGTGACTGTTTTTTCCGAAGGCAACCAAAGTGGGATACCCTAGAGGTGTACATGTGCAATTGTGTTGTATTCAATTATTTATCTTTGCATTTAGATTTGCTAACATTTGATTTTAATCTCTTGTCATACAATTCTATTAGTCATGCATCTAAACGGTTTAATAGTTTGCGGGAATTTAAAATGCCGAAAAATAAATCCTAAACTATTACAAAACTTCGTGGATGGGGATTAGTTACATGTCCAAAAATGGGAAAAATAAAGTAATAAAATAAAAGTCCTAATTAATTATATTACATTCCAGTAGGCAGTTACAAAAAATATGGAAATAAAAATGCGAAAAATAATAACGCGCGCAAATTGAAAATACGTATAAAAATCCTAAGGTATAAAAAATCATTTTGTTTGTTTTTGATCATGGAAAGAAATTTAATTTAAAATCCTAAGTCTATTTAGTTTTAAAATTAAAAAAAGGTTAAAATAATTAATCAATTAATTTACAAAAATTAATTTATTTGAGAAAATGTTAACCTAATATTTTTTGTGATTTTATTTGTTTTTATAATTAAAGAAAAAACATTAAAAGAAATAAACAAATAAAAACAAGTAAATAAAAAATGCAAATGGGCCTGGATAGTAAAAACAAGAACTGGGGGTGTGATTAAAAAACACGCTAGGCCCAAATTGTTAAAGCCCAGGTTTCCAGCGAATCCAGTGAGGAATGCTCTGGAGAGTGCATGGTGGTATGCCGTTGGAGACGCTGGATCTGGATCAAGTGGTGATCTGATGGCTTGGATTGATGGTTTACGATGCACGTGTTTGGACTTGAAACATTAGATCTGCATATAATATGTTAGAAAAAACAAAATTCATGACCTGGGTGTCGAACCCATGTCCTTCCCCTTAATTCGAACCCCCCTAATTCGAACCCCCTGAGTCCAAATCTGGGTTATTTTGGCTTTAAACTGCCTGTATTATGAGCTTCGAAGGCAAATTCAGATTGCTCCCTAATGATGGCACGATCTTATTCCTGCATGTTATCTTACATGTGATACGTTCATATAAACACAAACAAGATTAGCAACACAAATATGCAAGCAATATGTATTTGAATAGCCTAGAAATACAGTTTTGATTTTGTAAATCCTTACCAATCAGAGATGCTTCGATCTGTAACCCTGGGCATGGAACTACTCGTGTAAGGGCCTGGGTGGCTTCCTGGAAGTCTCGGGAGAATGATTTGGGTGTTAGTTTGGATTGAGAAGGCCTGCAAAGGTTGTTTCGAGTTTGACAATTTTGTTTAATCTTTTACAATTTTGTGGAGCTTCGATAGGCAGTGTGTACATGTGGCTCTTTTAGGCAATTTATGTGTCCCCCCTTTTGCTTCTGATTTAGTCTTGTACTTATAGGGGCATGGTGATGAACACATATGACATGAATCATCCATTAACTATGGCTTTAAAAGCAAAATCATCAAATTTGAAAAGTTGCCATTCTGAGATATTTCATGCCATTCTGAACTTTGAGTGAACCTGGACAAGTTTTGTCCCATTAGGTGTTCGTTTCGACTTGCATCTCCATTTCACATCAATTGATTCTTCCGACTAGCTCCCAAACATTGTTCTTTTCGATGGCTCTGAGTTCCAATTCAAATTGCTCAAGGCTTCATCATCATGGCTTCTTCGATTAAGTCATCATCTGCATCGATTGCTTGATCTGGAAACATCAGCCTAATCGAACAGCTCTTGTTCCTTTCGATCTCCTTTCCTTCAATTCGACCAATCGAAGTATCAACTTGTTCATTTTGACTTGTCAAAGCTTCGCTCTGTTCTTTTCGATCTCCTTTCCTTCAATTCGACCAATTGAAGAATTGCCTCTTCCTATTGACTTGTCGAAGCTTCATTATGTTCATCTTCTTCGAACAAAGTTATGCAGGTGTCTGATTCTTGTTGAACTGAACTTCGACTCTAATCCCACCTTTTGCTTTCGTCTTCAACCCATCTTTACTAATCACCAGTTTATCTTTGATTGATGAATACAACTTGTATGTACCAATCGAGTGATAACTTATGAGCACCAAGACTTCACTTTGATCATCCAACTTCTTCCTTTCCTGTTCAGGTACATGCCTGAAACATATTGATCCAAAGAATCTAAGAGGACTTATATTTGGATGATTTAACCCTAACAGTCCTTCTATGAAATCACGCCATGTTCGAAGGTTGCATGTCCTTCGAACCATTAGACTTCCACGTGTTTCTTCAAAGCTTTTGAATTCAAAATCTTCTTCCTTTTGAAGTGCCAATTCAAATCAACATGAGAGTCAAAATTCCTTCCGTTGTAATGCTTCGAATATCTTATATTTCAATAGTTCAAAGGCGAACCCTTCAAAGCTCTTTACTAGCTCTTCATCAATCGAAGACTTCATAAAAGCCTCCTCGCATTTTCTTTCGAACTATCCTTTTTTCGATCATAGTGTCCATTATTTAAAACTTGTGTAATCGAAATCCCAGCTAACACTACTTCGTTGGGCATCTATTCAGAATGTATATTGTTGTCGAAGCTGCTTCGACCCAAAATCTCTTAGGCATATTTTTAGCTTTCAACTTGCACCTCGTCATGTTCCGTACACTTCTTTTCTTTCTTTCAGCTATGCCATTATGCTGAGGCGTATAGGGTGCCATGGAAATCATTTGAAGCTTCTTGAGCAATTGAGAACTTTAATGAGCATGCCTTGAATAAAATGGAAGGGAAAATTTTGGGGTACAACACATACGAAAAGTCATCATTACTTGGGCTCTTAGACTGCTCTAGGTAATGATGACACTCCAGACAGTTGCCACGTGGGGCTCGGTAAGGGGCACGTCACTGACAACAGTTTCATGCGCAAAACCACGTGCCTACGATGTTCCATCCTCGAGGGAAAATGCACGCTCAACGTCATTACAACACCTTACTAACGGGCACATCGAAGATGCACACACAAGGAAACTCCTCGCCTTCCCGCGAATTTAGGTCCCTAACGGGCACCGCGTTAATATGAGCAGAAGATGAAGTCGACCAATGAAATTCTCCCAAGACTAGCCGACCACATCACACGCGAATTTCGGAGTCCTTCTCGACATGAATCACAGAGTCGTCCCCAACGGGAGTTGAGAGTTTCCCCTCTCGGGCAACATTTCCCCGACGCTTGAATTGATCTCAAGCCATCACCCTTTCACCTAAGAGCAATAACTTGGGGGGCTCCTGTTCTGGACTGGGCCGGCACCTGCCCCACCGTTGATCTACGCACATTCTCCCCAAAAATCTTGTCATTTCTAAACAACCATATTCCATGGATTATTTCAATAAAATCAAGCTTAAGCAAATTAAATCTCCATCCTTTCCTCACAATCATCTTCAAAATCCAGTTAAGCTCAATTGTCCAAGCTTTCGGCTCATGTTTGATACCAATCCAATCCAAAATACAATTCCAGATAACCTTCGACACCCTGCATTCAAACAACAAATGATCTAGATTCTCATTTGTCTCATTACATAAACTGTAGATTCTGTCAGTTATCATACCAAATTTAATCAACCTGTCTTTTGTTCCAAGTCTACCATGGTAAGCCATCCATGTTGTGTGGAAGGCTCTAGATATTGCACAGTTCCTATTTATAAGATATCTCCAATGCACTTTATTATTGACTTCCATCATTTTTTCATAAATCTGATTCATGTTGAATCTATTCTTTCTTCGATGGTATGCCACAAAGTCTATAAGTTACTAACAGTCTCCCTATGACTCATAATATTTTTCATCACCCAAGAACTATTTGTGTTAACCACTGCTTCGATAACATGCTTACCCTTCATATAGTGAATATGAATCCATTTCACTCATAAGTTGTCAGATTTCTTACACAAATTCCATAAACACTTGAGCGTTGCAATTTTATTCCACACAATAAAATTGACAATGTAAAGAAAAATCATGAAGTATTAAAATACAATCAAATAAAATTATAAATTATAAATTAAATTCATAAAAGAAAAATTATAAAATAAAGCTAAATAAATTAAAACTAAATTTAAAATAAAATCAAAATTATAAATAAAAATTAAAATCAAAACTATAAATTAAAAGAAAATAAAAAATTAAAACTAAAATTAAAAATTAAAATCAAAATCAAAACTAAATGAATAAATAAAAAATAGATAAAGTTAAAACAAAAAAATAAATACTGATCTGCATTTCAATTTACCCTAGCTGCGTTCGTGTTTCTCATCTCATCTCAAAGCCGCCTTTCTTCACTTGTCTGAAAAATCGTTCATCACTTCTCTGAACTCATCTTATCGGTTACGATTCTTCACCGTTGATTCCTTTTCTCACTTCCCAATCACAATTCAGTTCACAACTCCCTTCTTCCTACTCTCTCTACCCTCTTCTCGATATCCAAATCAACTTTGCGCTAAATTTCAATCAACACTCTTTCTATGTAAGTGAAACAAATTTAATACTAAAAATATATCATCCTATTTGAGGAATCTAACATATCTGTGATATAGATGTAATCGAGGGTACAAAGCACAACGAGTTTGATTTTGAGTTTTTTGGAAACAACATAGGTGAACCTTATTCTGTTCAAACAAATTCCACATGGACATTTGGATTTACACTAAAGATATCAGCATTCGGATTTTATAGTGGTGTATAATTGAAGTTGCAATTTTCTGTAAAGTAAGTGACTCAGTGTGGTGTATGTTTATTTTTGATATAAATGTGCTATTACCATTCTTTTCTTTTTCGGGGTCACCGTTCTGTAGGTGCTTTGAGCATCAGTCTTGTGTACTAGTAACAGGATAGAATAACCTTACTTGGGTTATTGCTTCCTTTGACTATCCCTCTTTTTTTTTGAACACCAACTAAATGGTTTATCTATTTTCATGTATTGGAGCTTGTTGATTTCATGCTAAAAGTTCATTAATTTGTCCGTAAGAGAACATGGTGGAATAAATGTTAATCTGTATAGGCTATGTTAAATGAACAATTAATCTTCCATTTAAATTCTCATAGCATGAGACTGACACATTGGTTTCATGCCAATAACTAGTTCTAAGTAAGTAGTTATACACAAATTTCACATGCAGTAGCCTTCAATAATGTTACACTTCTATGAATATATTTACCAATAATAAAATACAGAAATTGTGTTCCAAGATGCTCACAATTTGATATTTAGTTAATCAAATCATTCTAGTTTGAGGCGTGGGTTAGTGGCTATGATGCACAGACACTGGAAACACGACATCAACACTGACACATCGACACAAGTAATAATTTGATAAAATAAATAAATTAAATGTAATCACAAGTGTATGTGTCAATTTTAAACACCGACACTGACACAAATACACCTCTTTTTAGAAGTGTCGGTGTTACATAGGTTACTAGTAGTAGACTCTTAGTAGCCTCATTAAAGTTCTTGGAAAATATGTTGTGGGTTAGTGGTAGTAGGAAATGACCTATTTTGCTAAGTAAATTTGAGTATTAAATTGAATTTTTTTAAATCAGAAAATTGATGGTTGTCTCTCTAGCTAGCTTTATGGTTAATCTTTTTTATTGTTTTGTTCTTACTAATTGGTGATATTGATATATAATTTTTAATTTATCTTATGTAGAATTGTTGATTTTTTCTAAGGTTTAGAATTTTTTTAGGTCTGTTTAGTCCTAATAATTTTGAGTTTTAGTGTTTTTGTTCATATTTGTGTTATGTGGTTTTTGGATAAATTTTGGCATGGGATTTTTGTTTGGTATTAGAAATTGTCCCCTTTAATTTGACTTGAAGTTGTGTTTGGGTTTAATTTCAGTATTTTCTACATGCATTCTTTGATGGATGATGTTTGGGTTAAAGGTTACTTTGGAGATATCATGAGTTAATTCAGTTGAAGGAACCTGATGGTTTAGAGAAGAATGATGTTTAATTAGTTTGAGGAATTTTTTTTAAATACTACTACTTCTGTTCCTTTTTATAAGAGACAAATCACTTTTTTGGTCCATTGAATAACCAATGTATTTGGTCTGTTTATAAACTAGATACATTAATTATTTAATTAACCTAAAAAGTGAGATGTCTCTTATAAAAAGAAACGGAGGTAGTATTTATTTAGAAATTTAATCTATTGATGAGAATGATATGTGAAACTAGTTTATTTTTAGTTTCAACTATAACATTTTTGTTAATCTGACCCGAATCATTTGTCTATTTCAAAAATGGAGAATTTTGTGTTGTAAGTATGAAAACAAAACATTCCATCAGACCAATGACTCTGAGTTTAAAGATGTTTTCTTAGAAGATTTGGTGAAGTTTAAAGAGGATGAGTCCAAAGACTTGAAAAAAGATTTGCTTACTCTTCTTCATATGGTATTACTTTCATTTTGTATAATCATGTTTTGTGGAGATAATAGGCATTATAAATTAGGGAATGATTCATTTGCTATATCTCACAGTATCTCTCTATTGCTATAATAATTTGAAGTTGCCAATTTATTGAGGTTTGTACTCTTGGTTCATTTTTGAACTACGCTCACCATGTTTTAGTATGCACAACACAAGTGCCAGCTTTTTTATCAGTGCAATAAGGTTGTTTCTTCTTAATTCAAGTTAACAAAGAATCAGACATGAAATTGCTATGTTGTTAATGTTTTTATATATATTGAATTAGTTCATGGCTAGTTAGTTACCTAACTAATGAAATATGCATGTCTCTTCTTGATGAACAACTTATCCAACTTGAAGAATTACAAGATGATGCTAATCCTAATTTTGTTGAGGAAATTTTTACTCTTTACTACCGTGATTCATCTAGGTTTATTTCTAACTTAACAAGCACTATAGGTTTATTATACTAATTTCAGCATGAATTGCATGATTAATTGAGAGTAATTTTAAACTAGATTAGTGTCATTTGTGTGATTGTGACAGGGAGAGTAACTCATTGGATTTCAACATGTTGGACACAATCCTGCACCAGTTTAAAGGAAGCAGCTCAAGGTATATAGTTACATATATTTAGATAATATTAAATTTTTATATATATTATCTTATGATGAAGAGTATGTATAATGTAGAATATTCCTCTAGTAATTTGATATTTCATTAGTAGGTAACTAACTAGCCATGAATATGAATGAAAAGTATGTATAATGTAGAATATTACTCTAAAAACATTATATATATAGTTGAGAAGTATTCTACAGTATACATACTTCTCATTCATATATATATATATATATATATATATATATATATATATATATAGTTGAATTTGGTTTGTTATTATAGGATCAAGCTTCCTTGTGCAAAGAAGATTGTGCCCAGTGATTGTAGGGCTATGATTGGTTGGCAAGTTGCAAGTGTTGCTAAGGTTGATAAATAAGAAGTTTTGATTGGTTGAATCATATATTATTTGTTGTTTCTTGTTAAACCATTATTGGGCAAGCTGCTGCAAGTGTTCTAATTTTGTTTCTTGTTGTTTATGTTTTGTTGTTGTTAGACAACTTGTTATGGTTGCATCAATATTCTTGACTCTGGATAAGGTTAATCATTTTTATGAAGCAATCTCTTAATTTAGTTTTATATATTGTGTTTTGTGCTAATGTCATGGATGATTTTGCACTAAAAGGTTAGATAACGTGCAAAACAAAAAAATTCAAAAACAAAACATATGAACTAGCATCGGCTTTAACCGCCGCTAAATCTACACATTTAAGAACATTAGCTTCGCTGATGACCAATGCTATTTAAACACATGACAACTTGGTGCACCGGAGACCAACGCTACATAAAAAAAATGTAAGAAGATAGCATTGCATGAAACCGTTGCGAAGAAAAAAAACGTGTAACAAGCTTGCGTTGCCCGTGACCAATGTTGACATAAATATATTAATTTCTTAGCGTCTACATCCATTCATTAGCTTTCATATAACACGTGTAGCAAGCTTCATTGCCATGACCGACGCTAACAAAATATATTATTCTTTAGTGTCTACATCTATTCATTAGCTTCCACATAGCGTTTCCTAAAGTTGATGCTAACTTAGTGTTGGTTCAACGCTAAGTCTAGCTTCTAGTTTTGAGGTGTCTGCCCTGACCCTGACGCTAGATCAATGCTAACATGTATTAGTGTCGGTTTTTTTCCATTTAGCAAGGGCTTTTGACTGACGCTAATACGTTATTTTCTTGTAGTGTTAAGCCTATCGCTCTCAGGTCTAAATTAGAAAAGGTCAAGTCATGAAGACTCAAAGCTCTCAAATCTGAAGAGGAAGAAGATTTGGATAATGAAGACTCTGATGATGATGATGAATTGTCATTACTTTTCAGAAGAGTGAAACAACTGGAAAAGACAAAACAATTCTAGAAGATTCAAAAGAGATCGCCCAGATTCTTTCTTAAAAGGAAATAGAGAAGTCACATGCTACGAATATAATGAACCAGGACATTACAAATATGAGTTTTCAAAGTTAAAGAAAGAAGACTCTAGAAATGAAGGTTCCAGGAACAACAACTTCAAACGCAAAAAGAAAGGTCTCGTGGAAACATGTGATGATTTGAAAGCATCGAGATCAGATTCTGATAAAGAGCATGCCAATGTAGCATTCACAGCTACCATTTCAGAAGAAAGTTCATCAGATACAGAGTTAGAATCTGAAGAGGTATTTTTTGAAATCCCTCGTGCTGATTTAGAAATAGTTTTATCTGGCATTTTAAGCGAGTATCAAGAACTTGATAAAAGTTCATGAATATGATGTTGAAGAATATGGTAGGTTTGAAAAAGAAGTTTTTGAACATACACAAAAGAATTTCTTTTTAGAAAAAGAAAACATTTTTCTGGATAAAAAATGTTTGAAACTTGACGAAACTCTTTCTGAAGCTCCACCATCTTCCGAAACTATGTCGTACAAATATGACAAGGAATTTTAAAAGTTCTTGAACAAAAACCTGAATAGAAGTAAGATGACTTTCATGATCTATGGCATTAGTCAGAATGAAAGAAGAAAATTAAGTAATGATTCTGATCATAAAGATAACAAATCTATTTCTCTATTTTCCTATCACTATACACCAACACATACATAAAAATTTATTGTTGCACGAAAACCAAAATTCATCAAGAATTTTGGTAAAACTAACTCAAAAGTCCCCAAAAGACTGTGGGTACCAAAAGTTAAAATAGTATATATTGCAAATTTGTTAAATAGAAATGTGAAGACACCAATCATGGTACCTAGATTCTGGATGTTGACATCTCATAATGGAAAGAAAGCTTATGTCCCAAAGTCTGGAACTTAAAGAAATCAAACTTGTGGATCTCAGGGGTATCAGAAGGAATTAATACAAATATCTAATAACTGAGTTCAGAAATATGAAGCACAAGATTTGTCAGAACAAGATTGTTTGAAGAAATTCTTCTAAGATTTATTGTCTCTAGTAGAACTAGTCTCTTGAGAAGAAGATCTCTCAATAATGAATAGATTGCAGAAAAAGAAGGTCATTAAAAGTAATAGAGATTGAATAAATAACACATCTATCCAAAATCATTCATTATTCTTCAAAAACTTAAAAAGGGTAATTCTGTCGGAAATTCATTATTAGCATAAAAGTTTTAAATCTCTGATCTGAAAACCCTGAAACCCCTTTTCACCCAAATCTGTTCATCCATGGATGCGCAACAATCAGAACTATACAAATTTTCTCAAGAATTGGAACGACAAGAAGCATCTCAACAAAGTAACTCAAGCAGCTCTCCTTCAAATTCGTTAACACCTCATCAATCATCGTTTGTGCATCAAGAATGTCAAAAGATCTCAATTCTCGACCAATATGTGCATGTTCATATGGCAACTCCGGCTGATCAATTAGAAGTCATTCTTGAACTTCTTGTGGATTTTGAGAACTTAAAAGAAAATAACGTGGACCTAACTGAAGAACTCAACTTCCAAGAATGGCGTAACTACTTCAATCTTCTTCATGGCCCTGTATACACAAAATTGGTGAAAGAATTCTAGAGATTCACTATTACCGATGAAAAACACATCGTCTCTCATGTTCGTGGTACAAAAATCATTATCAATGTTAAATCAATAGCTATCCTACTAGGGATGGATAAACCAAGAGGAAAATTAGCTTATGGAGAAAATTACAAATCAAAATTCTTGCACAATGTGATAAAACCAACTATCTTTATAGAAGGTAAGCAAGGGACTACAAAAGGAAAATCCTCAAAGATACTGAAACTCAACAAAAATCTTTGTGTGTGGGTCAAAATCATCTTAGAATGCATACATCACAGACCGTCAACCAGTTCATCTGACTCAATCAATGCTGATCAGAAGTATATCCTTTACTATCTGATGAAAAAAGAAAAGATACATCTTCCTTCTCTACTTTTTAATTATATTAGGGATACTATTATTGAAACAAGAAATGATGGGTCCAGAAAGCCTAAAAAGAGATACATCCCACTAAGGAAATTGATATCAGACTTTCTAACTGAAAGTGGGGTCATAGATTATTTGATTGAAGCAAAAGATATGGAGGATATTACTGCAGAAATTGGAAAACCGTTTAATGGCAACAATCTCAAAAGCATGGGAGTTGTTGAAAACGTAATCAAACCAAGAATAATTGTTGACAATATTCTCAAAAGCATAGGTTTAAACATTTTCTTCTAATCTTAACACTGTATTTTCTTTTAATTTTGAAACATTTATATAAGCCCTCCAAAATCCTCTAAAATCCTCTTTCAATATAAATTTTGAGTTATCTAAAATTAGGGGTTTTTTTGCTGTTACGAAGAAACACAAATCCTCTAAAACCCTCTAAATCAAAATCTTCATGTTCTTTTCACCCAATCCTTCCTATTTTTCAAAGTCTCCCTCTTCCTTCCTCTTCAAACTCCCAAATAAAGTCTAAATATCTTATATGTTGTTATAATATCTTGAAAATTAAAAATACAATAATAATAAACACTATTTTATGGTTCTATATAAAATTATTTTAAAAAAAAGTTAAATACTTTTTGTAAAATTCGTTTTAGGAAGCCTCCCTTAGGGCTGCCAATGAATCGAACCATTTCAAAAATAGTCCGGAACTCGATTCAACAATTAAATCGTTGAACTAGGTTCATAAACTAAATGAACTAAAAATTAAGTTCGTTAACTAAATGAGCCGAACTTGAACTATACATAGTCCGACTCGTTAAGTTCATAACTCGATTATATATAAAATATATTATATTATCTTTAAGAATAAGTTTAAACATTTTCTTCTAATCTTAACCTTGTATTTTCTTTTAATTTAACGATTTATATTGATATTTTATATTCTCGAGTGAGCAAAATATTTCTAAAAATAATTATATAAATAAAATCAACATCCTATAAATTTCAATATTATAACTTTTATTTTGTTTCTATATTTTCTATTTAAAAAATACTAATTTAAAATGTCTAATATATAAAAATAATAGATTTTTAAAAATGACTTGTAAGTCTGTGAAGCAAGCGAGTTGGACCTAACAAGACGAACCTAACGAGTTGTTCATGAATTTGTAACGAGTCGAGTTTGAGCTGGAAAAAATTTGTGACAAATTTGAACTGATATTTAAGTTGAACCAATTATTAACGAGCCGAACTGAAGTGAATTCGATTCGACTTGACTCATTTCCAGCCCAACTTTTCCTCCCTTCCAAATTCGCAAACATAACCTTAAGGTCTGTTTGATTTAGTTTTGGTTTTTAGTTTTCAAATACTTTCTTATAAATCAAATTTTAAAAATTATTTTTAATAAAAAAATAAAAAACAAATAAAAATTTTAAAAACCACTTTTAGGTTGAGAAATTAAAAACTTGTTTGATATATGTATTTTTAAAATGTTTTTTTAGAAGTAGATTAAATGAAACTTAATTACTATATATAATTACTTTTATTAATTATTATTTTTTAATATTATTTTTTAATAATTTGAATACTAATAATAATATTTTGAATATGATATTTATAATTTTAAACATTAAACATGATAAAATAATAATGACATATTTTGTTCTGAGTCATTCAAAAGGTCTAAGACTACAATTTAGTAGCGAGTAATTCACTAGTTCACACGTTGGAAAGATATACTCTCTTAATCTTAGGGTGTGTTTGTTTCATGGATACAAAGTTATTTTTGGGAGTGATATTGAAACTCACATATTTATTTGTTTATTTCAAGTTTTAATAAATTATTCCTGAATACTTTTTATTCCTAAGAATATAATTTCTTCATGAACTTCTCTATTTTTATTCCCATGTCAAAGGATGAGAATCTTATATTCCCATAGGTATATAAAATAATCAACCATAACTTCTCACACTCATATTATTTTAATACATTTATTTTTAATTTTAAAATCTTAAAATTTTATTAAAATAAAATCTAAAAAATATTCCTTGAAACTATATTTTTTTGCCAAACACGTTGTTAGGAATAAAGTTTCTGACAGTGATATTCCTAATAATCTATACAATATAATAAAGTAAGATGAGTATTTTGCCAAATTTGCCACTTGACTGACACTCTCATGCATTCTTCTATTTATAATTTTACTATAAAAAGAGACTTTCTTATAATGTTTTATTATTATTTTTTATATTATTTGATTATTATTTTATAATTTCTCTCATTAATATTTACACATAGATTATGTTGCGTGTCACACTTACATAAAATTTTTTTTATTGGGAATTGTGGAATAGAAATTGTCGGCAACCATAATCTTCCCTTAGCCAATTAAAATTTTCGTCTTCCATTACACAAAGCAACCTTCTGTTATCAGGCAATAAATTATTCCCTTTTCTAAACCATGATTTCAAATTATGCTCATCAATGAGAATTTCAAGAGGCAATTTCAAATACTACTCATCAATGAATTATGTTTCCAAGGTAATATCATGAATCACCGTTTGAATTGATGTTGTTTTGTGTGAAATCTATATGAATTTCCTGGATATAAATAAGTATTATCCATCACAAATTATAAACACATTGGATTTCTTCTTGATAGTTGCTAGAGTTGTTATTCACGATTTACAAATTTGCATCCATCTTTTGTGTTAGGTTTATTCATGGCTTCTGGAGATGTCAACTTTGTTAACGAGATAACTTCTGCAAAAGAGTCGTGGAACATTGTGGTTCGAGTTATCCAATTATGG